ATATAATATAATATAATATAATATAATATAATATAATATAATATAATGACTATTAAACATGCTGGCCTTTCTTCATCATGGATATGATCACAGTTCCATCTATGAAATACAATAATTTATGAACACCAACTGAATGGGACTCAGAATTTAAGCATTCTTTTTTCATGCAAAAGCATGCTTTACATAAAAATGATTTTATAGTCTTCTAGTGTTATGTGGATTTTTTATAGCATATATTAATCAAATAAAATGCTAAAATTAACTAAATCTAGGTCTTAGAAATAGTTCCTGTATAATCCAATATAAATCCCAATAATCAGATACTCACGAGAAGTTTTTGAAGCAAGTAAAGTGATTCTGGAGCCAGTTAATAATTGAAATCCTAAAACATTAAGTTGATCTTCATCAATCTGATTAGCAAAGTCTACATGAAAAAGAAGAAACACAGTTTGCATCATTTCTTCCAAACTTCCTTCTTTATTGCAGGCATTTTCTTATTAAAAAGGCTTATTGTTTGAATTTTTACCTGAAAAAAGAGTAATAAAGTTGACTGTAGGTTTGTTGGTATCAATAGTTAACTTCTGGCTTGCTGTTTTTGAAGGCTGAGCAGGAAAACAAACCAGCCGCAAAGGTAAGCGGAATTTGCATTGGGCAACCCTTTGTGCACCTGAAATAAATCACACACATACACACATGTACGTATGTATATATATATATATGGGGGCTATGTGTTGGATAGGCAGTGGTTGGTCAGATCTAGGATGTGCTTGGGGGGATTATATTTGTTTTGGATAACCCCCCCAAGCACATCCTAGATCTGACCAACCACTGCCTATCCAACACATACTTCATCTATAACGGACAAAAATACAAACAAATAGAAGGAGCACCCATGGGATCACCCCTCTCACCTGTCATTGCTAACCTCTACATGGAACACTTTGAAACCCAAGCTCTAGAAAAATCTGATCACAAACCCAAACTCTGGCTCAGATACGTAGACGACACCTTCATAATCTGGCCACATGGGAAAGAAAAACTGGACAACTTCCTCACACACCTCAACAGCCTACACCCCAAAATACAGTTCACCATGGAAACAGAAGCGAACAACCAACTTCCCTTCCTGGATGTCTTAGTCTACAAAAAATCCAATTGCTCCCTAGGACACACCATCTACCAGAAGAAAACACACACAAACCGCTATCTGCACGCACTCTCAAACCATCACCCAGCCCAGATCAACTCCATAGCCAAGACACTCATCTCCAGAACAAAACACTTAGCTGACGAACAATACCTAAAAACCGAACTACACGTTCTCACTAACGTACTAACATCCAATGGATTCCAAAGAAATAGAATTACCAACCTAATCCAAAAAGAAACCCCCACTAAAATCCAAGACAGAGAACAAGAAAACGGCAAAGCCCTCCTCCCATACATAAAAGGCACCACAGACAGAATCAGAAAGATCCTCCACAAACACAACATCAAGATAGCATTCTGCACAAACCGAAAAATATCCACCATCCTAAGAAACCCCAAAGACAAAATTGAGTTAGAAAATCAAGGAGTATATGAAATCCCATGCACCGCCTGCCCCACCACATACATCGGACAAACCAACAGAAGAATAAGTGCACGCATTGAAGAACACAAGAACTCAGACAGAAAAGAGGAACCAACTTCTTCCCTGGTCCAACACCTCAAAGCCACAGGACATGATATTGACTTTAAAAGACCAGAACTATCGCCAAAACTGAACACTTTAACAACAGAATAATCAGAGAAGCCATCGAGATGGAAAAACGTCCACACAGCATGAATAAACAAGATGATACCTCCCGCCTACCAGCCATTTGGAAACCCACCCTTATTGACAAACGAGTCCCCAACACAAAGAATGACACCAGACCCACACTCACGAGAGCCACACAGGATGTAACCACCACACATCCACGCAGAAACAGACTCAAACCCACACTGATGATGAGGCATGACCACGGACCAGAAGCCAGACCACAGCTGCATCATTAGCCACTTTAAACCCCTCCATTCCATACATGAAGCAGACTGACACCCACCATGAAGAGGTGGCACGGCCACAAACACGAAGCCAAACAACAGCAACACAGCTCACCAGCTCAAATCCCCCTGCTACTCAGACTAACCCGAGCACAACCAAGCCCCCACCTAAACAGAACACACACCCGTCCAATCAGAGCACAGCCAAACCCCCATCCAATCAGAGCACAGCCAAACCCCCAACCAATCAGAACACACCTCCACCCATTCAGAACACAGCCAAGTTCCCACCCAATCAGTTCACACCCCCACTGGCAGTTAAAAGGAAGAAACAGCTGCGATCACACACATTGCTCCTAGAAGCACGAAGCCGAAAACACCAGCCTGAAGATGACGAATGAGACTTCGTCGAAACGTTGCCAAGACACCTCCAATTTTACGTGGGAGAAAACCCGAATAACCAAAGACCTACATACAAACACCCGCGAAAACCTCAGAAAACAAATATATATATATATGTACACATATATTAAATCAAAATGCCTCAATTCTAGGGATAGGCAATAATGCATGGTAAGCATGATCCTTGGTTTTTTAATGTTTGATTTAAAAGGGAAAGAGAAAATTATGCTGCGACATTGCATTTTCAATAATGCTTCTAACACCTACATAAAATACAAAGCCATTTTTAGGTCATAAAAATATCACATGGCTTCAGTCCCCTATGTGGATTATTACCCATCCCCACAGAAAGAAAGACCAAGGTAAAATTGAGATGGTACATTAACTTTCCATGTTTTATTTTATAGTTAACAGTTGTTCCTACAAAGACATTAAGACATAAAATGTTATATATAGAATTATTTTCAAATAAACTATTATAATTATTTTTATCATTTATTTACATACTCTAATAATTTACCTGTGGCTGTATTATATGATGCTATAACACTACCTTCCAAATCTGCTGGTAGGTAATTCCCTTTTCGAAAAGCAGAAAGTACAACTGTTTTAGATACAGAAGATTCTGTGAACACAAGAAGAACAATGAAAAGGTAAATTAGAAAGAGAGACTGAGAAATTTGTCTATGAAATTATAATAAAGAAACATCAGTTCAGTCGCAACTCACTACTCATTCATTATCCTATAATGAAAAAGGCATGTGATACTATTTACATGTTTTTTTCATGTAAAAAAGCAGTATATAATAAAAAAACTGAAATTACTGAAATTTGTCAAATATTTCATTCAAAATCATTATAAGACACCAAAATAACAATAACTTTAAGGAATACAGAGCTCTGAAGCTACTCACTGCCTTGGCTTAACTGTAATAGTGAGGGTTCCTTGGTGCAGCTGTGGCACAAAGTGAAGATCTTTTGCCTGGGACAGAAGGAGCCAGACTCATCGTAGCCTTATACTTTGGATCAGATCCAGCTAGAGACATGCCATACAGGATCACAGAGGCTCCAAACTAAAAAGAATGTCTCTCTCCAAATAGGGTTTAATTAATCTCCCTCATCCCTCCAAAAAATAGTTGAAATAATTGAAATTTGGCAAATTTTATAAAACATTTTATGACATAAAAATCATCAAAAAAAGGATATATAGCACAATACAAAATGAAATAAAACATTTTCTGTGCTTATGTTTGACTGGGCTATATAGTTCAAATTGAGCTATTTTCAAGGCAGCTATATCTCTGAATATATCCCACCTTTTCCAATGAAAGCAATATATTAGAAGCTTTGTCACTGTTGGATGCACTGAGGAATCTGATAAGGAAGTATTTCTGAAAGCATACCCAGATCATGCTTTCAGAAATAGACTGTCAGTAAAGAATTAAAGTTTAATAAAGACAGAATACATCCAGAGAATAATGGGAAAAATGAAAAAGAGCAATCTATCTATGATGCTTTTTATATATAATGGTTTTATTGTTATTTTAATTATTATTTCATTAAAATATCAAAAAAATATATATATAAATACTACTCTAGTCCTTTCTTAGGCAGAAAACCAGCTGGTGACTTTGGAACAGATACTCCCTTGTAATCCTAGAAAGAAGCAACTGGCAAGACTCTTCTAAATACTCTTCCAAGAATACTGCAGAGGGCAGCTACCAGGAGTAAAATTAATTGAAAGCACAATTTTTAACTGTGCACATGACATACTATTACTTTCTAGTTTCTATACTTTAACCAATAAATATGTAGACATTTTAACACATTGCTACTTCATGTACAGTCATAGCTGCACCAAACGAATTTATTCCACATATGACATGTTGGAAATTAGAGGGAACATTTATTGTAGTCTTATATTAAAAGACAGAGCAGATAAACAGGGGAAATAAAAAGAGTCTGAAATAAAATCTGACCAGTAATCAGAGGGATTTATATAATAGAATGCTGCAATTTGGCCACTGCAGGGACAGGAGGTCAACTGATGGCTAGCTTTCTTTCTTTCAGGTTTCAGTTTAATTATGGAAAACAAGGAGACAAAAATGGTGGCCCTCCAGCATGTTCTGCTCTTCACTGTCATGTCAGTTGCTCTTAAAATATGTATTGCTCAGGCTTTATTCTGAAATGGACTGACCTGGTTGGGCAATTGCAGATTCCTGGTTAACAGAAAAATGGAAAATTCACCTCTCCCAGCTCCATCTGACAAGTTATTAGAAATCTGTTTGGTTGTTAAGGATAGATCTATAAGAGTTCTCACTTTCTATCATGTAGGGAAAAAAAATTCTTGCATTGCTCCAAAGCAATGCAATACACACACTAAGAAACTGAATTTGGTCCCACTTTCTCAGTGCATCACTTTCACCAAGCTTTTAACTGTTAATTCATTTTAGAATTAATGTTAGTCATGTTTCTAACTATTTATATTTTAATTTTATTTTTAATTTATTATCTTTTTATATGTAATAGTTACATAGTTTGTAGGCAATATATTATATGTAATGTATTATATTATTTCAATACTGTACTACTTATGCAGTACTGCACTACTTATGCAGTGTTGATTAAAGATTAACAATATAGATACTGTATTATAAATTTTAAAGACAGGTAGTCCTTGACTTACATAATTGGAACCTGAATCTCAGTTGCTTATATAATATGTATGTATGTATGTATGTATGTATGTATGTATGTATGTATGTATTCCTTTTAATTCATAGGTATAAATGTGTGATATTTTTGCAATCAGGGTTTTTTTTTCTATGTTGAAAAGATGTTAAATCCCACCATGGCCATTTAACATCTTTTCAACATAGGAAAAAAAACCCCTGATTGCAAAAATATCACACACACACACACACACATATATATATGTGAGTTACATATATATATGTAAGTTTTCACGGCTATATATGTGTGTATAGTTAATATTTCGGGTTTCTTCCTGTGTAATTGTGGATATATCCCTAAAAGATAAGCAATATTATTCACCCCATATTATGGGACAAAATAAAACAGCTTGCCACCTGGAGATCTGAAATAGAAACCACTCATAAAACTTACAGACATTTAAAGAAACTTAAGAAATTAGAACATAAAAAACCTCCAACCACAACACAACATCATTTAAAACAAGTAGTATACAATGCTTCCGATAGAAAACTAACAACAGCAGAAACAAATGTCTTAGCAAAGGGCTTTAATTTTGCAGTGACACCCAATAAAATTCCGATAGAAACCATCATATGCGAAGTTGAAACCAGCTTAAAGAAACTCAGTGCTGACGATGCTGATAAAGTCAGACATGACGTCACCAACATTCTATGCACTAGTAAACCACCTAAAAGCAACTTATCAAAAGAAGAACAAAAAGCACTGCAAGTTTTAAAAAACGATAATAGCATAATGATACTACCAGCAGATAAAGGCAATGCAACAGTAGTAATGAACACAGTGGACTATGAAAAGAAACTGTCTGACTTACTTCAAGACGCCACATATAAACCCATAAACACAGACCCAACAACCTATCTAGAAAAAACCACGAAGATAAAGATAAAATCAAGTACTATAAGTAAAGAAATCCAACAAACAATTCCCAGAGAAAAATCATCAAAATGCCCAAAACTGTATGGCCTCCCAAAAATACACAAAGATGGAATACCTCTCAGACCCATAGTAAGTTCCATAGGCTCACCTTTACAAAATCTAGCCAGATATTTAGCAAAACATCTGCAACCTTACGCAGAATCTGCTGCTTCATATGTACAGAACTCATACCATTTCATACAAATAATAAAAAAGCAACACATAAAAGAAAATGACCTTCTTGTAAGCTTCGATGTTGTATCACTATTCACACAAATACCTGTCAAAGAAGCCCTGTCATCAATTAAAAACAAATATCAACTACCAAAACATATCACAGATTTAACAGAACATTGTTTATCCAACACATATTTCATACACAGAGGACAGAGATATAAACAAGTAGAAGGTGCACCAATGGGATCACCATTATCACCAGTCATCGCTAATCTTTTCATGGAAGAATTCGAATCCAATGCTTTAGAAAAAACTGTTAACAAACCAAAATTATGGCTCAGATACGTTGATGACACTTTTGTGATCTGGCCACATGGAAGAGATAAACTGGAAAACTTCTTAGTATATTTGAACAGCCTCCATCCCAAAATAAAGTTCACCATGGAGATAGAATCAGAAAACCAGTTACGTTTCCTCGATGTATTAATTTATAAAAAATCTGATGGCACCTTAGGACATACCATCTATCAAAAGAAGACACATACGAACCGCTATCTCAACGCCAAATCACACCACCATCCAGCACAAATAAACTCTGTTGCCAAAACATTAACCACAAGAACTAAACGTCTGGCTGATGAAGCACATTTACAAACAGAATTATATACACTAACTAATGTACTGACATCAAATGGGTTCTGTAGAAATAAAGTCATCAATATGATTCAACATGCAACACCTAGACAGAAGAAAAAACAACAAGAGGAACAAAACAATGGGAAAGCCATCTTGCCCTATATAAGGGGAACAACAGATAAAATTAGCAAAGTACTACATAGACACAACATCAAAACCATATTTTGCACAGATAGAAAGATATCATCCATTCTGAGAAACCCTAAGGACAAAATAGAATTAGAAAACCAAGGCATATACGAAATCCCGTGTGCTTCCTGCCCATCAACATACATTGGACAGACCAATAGAAGAATGAGTGTGCGCATCGAGGAACACAAAAACTCAATACAAAAGCAAGAACACACATCATCATTAGTTCAACACATAAATACAACAGGACACAATATTAATTTTAATAACACAAAAACAGTTGCAAAAATAGAACATCTCAATGGCAGAATAATCAGAGAAGCAATTGAAATAGAGAAAAGACCATATTGCATGAATAAACGGGATGACACTTCACGTCTGCCTACTATTTGGAAACCTGCTCTCATAGATAGACGAATCTTAACACCAAATATAAAACATAGATCAAACATTAATCAAAAAACAAATCCCAACCAAATCATATTCAAACCAGCCACAAAGATGAAGCCCTGCCACCTAGTGGAGAAAAACCGACCATACACCCGAAGCCAAGCCAATACATACTGGGACTCCCAACCAATCAGAATGAAAAGGTGGAGCCATCCCAGACTACCAGCACCAGATTTGAAATAGTAACGGCAGTTACTGCAAAAGACTCCTCACATAAGCCTGATGATGGCAGATGAGATTCTGTTGAAACGTCGCTTCTACCCTTTTAGGGATATATCCACAATTACACGGGAAGAAACCCGAAATATTAACTATACACACAGACACACATATTTATATATATATAAATTAAATTTGTTTGCACCCATTTTCCTGCAAAGCAACTCACTGAGCAAAGTGACTGACATGCTGTTTAACTTTGAACCATTATTAAATAATTAGTCATAAAGGGCTATCTGAAGAAAAAAGAAGACACTATATCAATATTAACTATAATTTAAAGTGTAATTTTTAATACATGTTTAGCTTTTATATCAAAAACCAAATATCACATTAAGAAGCATCTGCAAAGTACAACAAAATATTTTATTTATTTTATTAATTTAGTAGATTTGTTTAAATCCTACCTTTATTAGTTTTATAAGTAACTAAAGGCAACAGACTTACACAAAACTTTCTCCTCCTATTTTCTCTACAACAACCCACTGAGTTGGGTTGGGCTGAGAGCAGTGATTGGCTCAAATTCACTCAGACAGCTTTCATGTACAAAATGAGATTAAACTTATAGTTTCCTGGCTAGCTACCACTACACCAAACCGGCTCTATTTATTATACAATAAAGTTTCTGCCTTAAAATGAACTTAATACCGAAGTCTCCACTGTTTGTGCATATTGAAAAAAGAAAAAAGAAACCAGTAAAGCAAAGTAAAACAAGCAACAACAGAAAAGTAAAAGAAAAACAAGCTATTTGGTTTCTAACTTTCTCCTTTTTGTGCTTCAGCTAATTTACAATATTTATAAACATTTAGGCCACCTTAGACACCAAATTGTAAATGTTTAAATTTGCCATGCTATATATTTTATGTATAGGAACCATTCTTGTTTAAATTTGGTTAAATGTCTGTTGTGAATATATATAGTCAGTTTTACCGTTCCTACAGATTCTCCTGTTGTGAATATATATAGTCAGTTTTACCGTTCCTACAGATTCTCCAAGTTCCCAATCCAATAAAATGTCAGAATTGTATCTTTCTTCCAGTGCTGGGCAAAATTTATTTTCACAGCCGCAAACATATGTCTCAGTAAATTATGATGTTTTCTTAGATTGTACCTAGCAAGAAAATTTGTGGTTTGATTTCAATTTTAATTTCTAAAACTTTTCAACGTTGTACTATGTATGTATTTCCAGTAGTTTGAGGTTTTTTTACATGTCCCACATGTGGTAAAATGTCTCATGGCATTTCTAATATTTATTACTGGATATTTATTTATTTTTAAAATTATGATGTATATCAGCTGTAAAACATTTTGTACCAATTTTCTTTCAAGTTGTACCCTGAAGTATATTTTTTAATTTTTGTTTCTTGTCTTGAATATTCATTGGAGAAAAAGATTAATATTGATTATATCAACCAAATTTAGTAGAAAGATGTGGCAAAGTGTAGACCAACCTCCTTGTGGTGCACCCTGGGCAATATGACTTTGTCACAGCTAAATAGTCTACACATTTTGGCTGCTGGATCTCACAAAGATCTCCCAGCAAGAAGCAGCAGCATGAATATAAAAACAATGGCTCTTTTCAGATGAATTAATGCTGCATTCTGTTATGCCATATGAAATAAATAAAAAGTAAAAAGATAGCCAAATGGAGATATAATTCAGGAGTCTCTATCTATTTAAATCAGTTTGATCTTTTAAAAAAACGTAGTAAATGAATACACAAAAAAATAGAAAAAATTACACAATTCCTATGTGAACAGTTTAAACTATGTTTAATTCATCAAACAATCATAGAAAAATAAGCAATTTACCTAATTCTAAAATGAAGGAGTTTTTGGTCAATGATAAAGGACATGGGACACATACTGTTAATTTTGTAAGTGTTGGTACTCTGCTTTCAACTTCAATCTGTTGGATCAAAATATTAGAAAAGTATTTACAGACAATAGTAAAATATTTATATAAAATAAATGGTAATTAAAAATATAAAACTAATATTTAGAACTTCAAAAATATTATTTCATCACTTCAATAAATCAGTAGTTAGTACTTCTATAGGGATTAACATACAGTTGCAAGAAAAAGTCTGTGAACCCCTTGGGATTACGTGGAGTTTTGCATGAATTGGTCATAAAATGTGCTCTGAACTTCATCTAAGTCACAACAATAGAAAAACACAATCTTGTAAACATGTAAACATTCACAATGCAGGGAGGAAAAAGTATGTGAGCCCCTAGCCTAATGACTTCTCCAAGAGCTAACTGGAGCCAGGAGTGAGCCAAACTTGACTCCAATCAGTGTGATGATATTGGATGTGTTGCTGACAGTTGTCCTGCCCTTTAAAAACGCACACCTGTTTTGGGTTTACTGGTTTCAAGAAGTACTGTCTGATGTGAACCATGCCTCGCAGAAAAGAGCTCTCAGAAGACCTACAATCAAGAATTGTTGACTTGCATGAAGCTGGAAAGGATTACAAAAGTATCTCCAAAAGCCTTGATGTTCATGTGTCCACGGTAAGACAGACTGTCTACAAATGGAGAAAGTTTAGCACTGTTGCTACTCTCCCTAGGTGTGGTCGTCCTGTAAAAATGACTGCAAGAGCACAGCGCAGAATGCTTCATGAGGTAAAGAAGAATCCTAGAGTGTCAGCTAAAGACCTACAGAAATCTCTGGCACATGCTAACATTTTTGTTGACACATCTACAATAAGGAAAACATTAAACAAGAATGGAGTACATGGGAGGACACCACGGAGGAAGCCATTGCTGTCCAAAAAAAATATTGCAGCACGTTGAAGTTTGCAAAAGAGCACCTGGATGCAGTACTGGCAAAATATACTGTGGACAGATGAAACCAAAATTGAGTTGTTTGGGAAGAATACACAACACTACGTGTGGAGAAAAAAAGGCACAGCACACCAACATCAAAAGGCACAGCACACCAACATCAAAACCTCATCCCCACTGTAAAACATGGTGGAGGGAGCATCATGGTTTGGGGCTGCTTTGCTGCCTCAGGGCCTGGACGGATTGTTGTCATTGATGGGAAAATGAATTCCAGAGTTTATCAAGACATTTTGCAGGAAAATGTACGACCATCTGTCCGCCAACTGAAGCTCCGCAGAGGATGGGTGATGCAACAGGATAATGACCCAAAGCATACAAGTAATTCAACAAAAAAATGGCTTCAACAGCACAGAATACGCCTTCTGGAGTGGCCCAGTCAGAGTCCTGACCTCAACCCGATTGAAATTCTGTGGCATGACCTTAAGAGAGCGATTCACACCAGACATCCCAAGAATATTGCTACACTGAAACAGTTTTGTGAAGAGGAGTGGTCCAAAATTACTCCAGATCGTTGTGCAGGTCTGATCTTCAACTACAGGAAACGTTTGGTTGAGGTTATTGCTGCTAAAGGAGGGTCAACCAGTTATTAAGTCCAAAGGTTCACATACTTTTTCCTCCCTGCACTGTGAATGTTGACATGTTATGTTCAATTAAACCATGGCAACATCTAATGTTTGTGTAGTATTATTTTAAGCAGACTGTGTTTTTCTATTGGTGTGACTTAGATGAAGTTCAGAGCACATTTTATGACCAATTCATGCAAAACTCTATGTAATCCCAAGGGGTTCACATACTTTTTCTTGCAACTGTACAAGCAATGTTCATGCGCACATGCAGAGAAAAAGAGTGACAGACAGAGGGAGGGGGGAGAGAGAGAGGCAGAGAGAGAGAGAGATGCACATACACATAAAAAAGTTCCCCTGTCACCCTTATAGTGTGTATCTTCCCCTATCTCTGGTTGTCTACCGGAAGCTTGGGGTTTGAGGGTTCTGTGGAACACACTCTTCTGGACAGAGAGCACTGATGTCATTCCTGGAGTCTTTTGGAGCCACTCTCCCAGCTTAGGTGTCATGATTCTGAGTGCTCCTACCACCTCTGTAAACAGTGTGGGTTTTTTTTACATCTTCTCCAGTTTCTCTTTCAGGTTGTGGTACTTCTCCAGTTTCTCATAATCCTTCTTCCTGATATTGCTGTCACTTGGCACCACTACATCTATCATCTAACTTCCTTTCCCATTCCATATGTATGTTTGTGTGTGTGTGTGTGTGTGTGTGTGTGTGTGTGTGTGTGTGTACACAAAGACAAAGAAAGAGAGAGAGAGATGTATAGGTTTGTGTGTACACACACACACACACATATACATACACACACACACACATATACATACACACACACATATACATATACATATACATATACATATACATATACATATACATATACATATATATATATATATATATATATATATATATATATAACATACAGTGCATTCAGAAAGTATTCAGACCCCCTTCATTTCTGACAATTTTGTTATGCTGCAGCCTGATTCTACAGTTGTTGAAATTCATTTTTTCTCATTAATCTATACTTAGTACCCCGTAATGACAAAGTAAAAACAGAATTTTAGAAATGTCTGTACATTTATTAAAAAGAAAAACTGAAATACATTGACATATGTATTCAGACGCTTTGCAACAACACTTGAAAGTGTTCAGGTGCCTCAATTTGTTTTGATTGTTATTGACATATTTCTACACCTTGACTGGAGTTTACCTGTGGCAAATTAAATTGATTGGACAAAATTTGGAAAGGCACACACCTTTCTATAGAAGGTCTCGCAACTGACAATGCATATTGTAGCAGAGCAAAAGCCATGAGGTCAAAGGAACTGCCTGCAGAGCTCAGAGGCAGGATTATTACAAGGCACTGATCTGGGAAAGGCTACAATAACATTTCTGCTGCACTAAGTTTCCTAAGAATACAGTGGCCTCCATAATTCTCAAATGGAAGAAGTTTGGCACAACCAGGACTCTTCCAAGAGCTGGTCACCCAGTCAAACTGAGCAACTGGGAGAGACGGGCCTTATTAAGAGAGGTGATCAAGAACCCAATTGTTACCCTGACTGAGCTCCAGAGATCCTGTGTGGATATGGGACAGAGTTCCAGAAGAAAAAACATCACTGTATCCCTCCACTGATCTGGCTTTTATGGCAGAGTGGTTTGATGGAAGCCTCTCCTCAGTTCAAAACACATGAAAGCCCAATTGGAGTTTGCAAAAAAGCAGCTGAAGGAGACTGTGAGGAACAAGATTCTCTGATCTGATGAAACCAAACATTGAAATATTTGGCTCAATTCTAAATATTATTTCTGGAGGAAACCAGGCACTGCTCATCACCTGCCCAATATCATCCCAACAGTGAAGCATGGTGGTGACAGCATCATGCTGTAGGGGTGTTTTTCAGCAGCAGGGAATGGGACACTGGTCAGTGTTGAGGGAAAGCTGAATAGAGCAAAGTACAGGGATATTTATGAAAACCTGTTCCACAGCGCTCAGGACCTCAGGCTGGGCTGAAGGTTCACTTTCCAACATGACAACGACCCTAAGCACATAGCCAAGACAACACAGGAGTGGCTTAGGAACAACTCTATGAATGTCCTAGACTGGCCTAGCCACAGCCCTGACTTGAATCCTATTGAACATCTCTGAAGGGACCTGAAAATGGCTGTCCACAGACGGTCACCAGCCAACCTGACTGAGCTTGAGACGTTTTGCAAGGAAGAATGGCAAAAAATCCCCCAGTCCAGTTGTGCAAAGCTTATTGAGTCATACCCAAACAGACTCGAGGCTGTAATTGCTACCAAAGGTGATTCAACAAACTACTGAGTGAAGGGCCTGAATACTTATGCAAATGTGATATTTCAGTTTTTTCTTTTTAATAAATATACAAACATTTCTAAAATTTTGTTTTCACTTTCTCATTATGGGGTACTAAGTGTAGATTAATAAGAAAAAAACATACATACACACAGATACTGTATGCATATATTTTAGCGTAGGTTTACATTCTATCTAATATGTTATTTATTCAAATCCAGCATTTTGAAATCAGAATTCTCCTGTTCTTTTCCACCTCCATGCTCTGGTACACTTCTTTTTAACCAAGTCAGTCAGTAAATCAAAGCAGGATAAGTTTCAAAGTTTAGGACACTATTGGGCAAAATACCAAGCTTACTTCTTAAAAACTCTCATCATTATACATTTCCTTTATCACTACTCTGAGGCCAAATCCACACCATTGCATAGTGAATACAGGTCGTCTTTGATTTATCACCATTCATTTAATGACAGAACAGATTAATAACAACCTTGGGAAGTTGCTTTACAGCCCTTAAATTGTTTTTGATCTCGGCAAAACATTGTATGACCAGTCCCACAGCCATGTGATTGTAATCTGGGTGCTTGGCAACCTGATCATACTAATGACTAGTTGCCAAGCATCCCACAGTTACATGATCACCATTTCCAATCTTCTCTGCTGGCTTTCCCTGAAAGTCAATAGAGAAGATTGCAAACTTGTCAGTGTATAAGAATTTATGAACTGGAATAGCCATGGCAACAAGTCAGCCAATGGGTTTTTGGTGACTGAGACACAGGATTTGTTGTGTGAGCCATGTGAGACGCCTTGGAGCCTAGACATAACTTAGCTTAACTGTTCTGTGCTGTGAGAGTTCATTTGGTCTTTGTTTGAGTGTACTTGCTTCTTCTTCTTCTCTCTACCATGTTGTAAGAGTTGCATGGGTATTGTATACATGCATCATTTTTTATATTATTGTATATAAAGAAGTTTCTTCCATATAATGAATCCTGCTGAATTATTTACGGTGTGCTGACAGGATCACTACAAACTCCAACAAAACTGCTGCTGCCTGCCTGAAGGATTCCTCTCAGCAATGAGACGGGCTGAAAGAGCTAACTCCTAAACACAGCTGAACTCCTTCAATAGGATGCAGAAATGAAACTGAAATCCTGAAGATTTAAACTCTATTCCTTCATCTTACC